GAAATTCCCCTGTAGGGGGACATGCCCGACCTAAAGCTGACACGGCCGTGCGGAGCTTCTTTCCACGCGCACCTGAATTCAGCATGGCCGCCGTGGCCCCACATGCCGCCGCTGCTGCCGCTGGATGGGCGGCCAGAGCCTTCTCCATGTGGATACGAACAACGTGGAAGAACACTCCGAAACCAAAGCGTTCCGTATCGGAGATGTGCCGCTGCCTGGGAGGCGCCTCCTTCCTCGAGCCAAATGGCTACGGATCCTCCTTTTTCTCCTCCTCCTCCTCCTCCTCCTCCTCCTCCTCGACCAGGCCATAGCGCAACAGAGGTCTGTCACGCAGTACGCGGAGGGGGCAATACGCCCACTCCCCACGACTCCCTAGAGCATGGGAGCCGCAACGCCGCCGACGGGGCCCGACAGAGAACGAAGAGAGAAGGAGAAGGAAGAAAAGAAAAGGAAATTGGCGCCGGCCTCATATGCGTGCGCTGCACGACGTGCAACACCGGCCCACCGAAGGTGAGCGGCCCCCGTGCCTACCTGGCTCTTCCAGCACCAGGTGACACTGGACACCCCCAACGGGCCACCGCGCGGGGCACGCGGTGCGGGAAGGTCATGGGTGTCCAAGCCCACCCCCGCAGACCCCCTCGCCCAAGGGGGGTCAGGTGGGACCACGTCTTGAGCCGTGTCCGTATGCCGACCTCCCCCAGCCACACCATTGCCCCGCGACGTGACGGGAGGGCTAATACAGTGGCTGGGGCCTGCCCCCGCAGGAGCAGGTACCCGCAGGACGACGCGGACCGAGATCCACGCCGTCCCAGGGGGGGTACCCTCGCGGCCCCAGAACGCCAGGTCCCCGAGGGACCCGAGACGGCAGACCCGAACCACAGCGGGACCACCGCTAGAGTTCGGGGGGGCCGCCCCAGGCCCATCAGGGCACCGACGCCCCTGGACCGCCGCGCCGCCCCTGCGCAGGCGACGTCTTGGCGGATTTCAGTGCACCCCAGGAGCCTCAACGTGCCGCCCATACGCCGAAGTGCCCTCCTGGGGGCTCCTCCTCCTCCTCCTCCTCCCTCCTCCTCCTCCTCCTCTTCCTCCTCCTCCTCCTCCTCCTCCTGTGCACGCAGCTCCCTTGTTTTCCGATTGCACACTACACGAAGTGGTCTTTCTGTGTGATTCGCGTTTCGGCCATGACAGGCGTTATCGGCTAGAGAAGAACCAGCGCCATGGAAAGGGATGCGAGGGAGGGGTAGGATGTCAGATGAGGCGCGAGCGCACCTGGCTTAGGTCGGGCATGTCCCCCTACAGGGGGATTTTGGACGAGAATTAGAAAATGATAGAACAAGTGCGCCAAAATGCTCAAAAGTGGTATCAAAGAAGATCGTCCCCGGACTATTTGTTTGACTACTTTTGAATATGCCTCCTGTGGAGGGACAGGCCCGACTTAAACCTGGCTTGTCCCTCCTCCTGGCTCCCCCCCCCCGGGGAGGAGGGCGCCTTGGGCCACAGCGGCGGGCCGCCGTGCATGCCCGAGATGGTCTCGTACACGCGCTGCAGGGTGTCGTCGGACCGGAAGCTCAGCACCTGCTGGACCAGAAAGCAGGAGGAGGAGGAGGAGGAGGAGCAGGAGGAGCAGGAGGAGCAAACAGAGCAAGAGGAGCAGGAGGAGCAGGAGGAACAAAAGGAGCAGGAAGAGGAACAAAAGGAGCAGGAGGAGGAGGAGGAGGAGGAAACACACCACCCACCTACGGCCCCACGGGTCGTGGCGTGTGCCAGGATCTCTGGCGTGGGTTGTTGCATGGTGTGCGCCACGGCCTCCGACGGGCCATGGCACAACACGGAGGGGCCGCAGGTGGGCTGTGTCGCTCGTCTTCTGGCCGACCTATGGTTAAGTCGGGCCTGCCCCTCTACAGGGGGAATGTTCAGAAATGATGAAAAGTAGTCTGGGGACTATTTGTTGAGTATTCTTGGGCATCTTTTGGGCATGTTTTGAATCTGTTTTATTTTTCGTCCAAAATCCCCCTGCAGGGGGACACGCCCGACATAAACCTATGGGCCAGAGGAGGAGTTACAGTCGGCAAGCTACCATGAGGAGCACCAGCCGAGGACCGGAGGGGCTTTCCTGGCCACGGCGAGCCACGGCCACGAACAGGTTTCCCGACCTTGACCCCAGGAACGGCCCGAAAGCCCGAGGCCCTCCTGAGCCCAACGCGGTCCTCCTTTCAGCGTCCTGACTGTACGTTGCATCAGCGGGGGGCCCCGTCTGTCCCGCCGCGCCGCGATCCGCGTCGAATCCGTGACGAATGCGTGCCGAATCCGTAATCAGATCGAGCCCACGTCGGATCCGCGTCGAGTCTGCATCGAGCCCGCGTCGGCACGTGAGCAATGGGGCCACAGGAAAAGATGCCAGCACAGGGGGGGCAGACGAGGTCCCCCGACGATGCCTCGTGAGAGGAGGACGTGCTCTCTCGGGCGCTTGTGGTTGCAGCAGCGCTGGCGCTCGCACGGCGCGGGTCGGCCGAGGGCGGGGTGCGCAAGGGCGAGTGGGCATCCCCGGGACAGGGGGCGGGAGGAGGAGGAGCGGCGGCGGTGGGAGGGGGAACACGGGGGAGGGCACTCGGAGCAGGAGGAACGGGACCGGCTGCCGACGGATGCTTGGATCTGAGCACTTCCCAAGGCGCAGCACGCAAGCCGTGTGGCGCGTCGGCACGGAGCTCAAAAGGGAGAGCGACAACGTGTGGGCTTGGCGCGATGCGCTCGCCAGGACGTGGGCCAACACGTTGAGCCAACACGCAGCGTGTTGACACCGACGCCCCGAACATGGCACGTGTCGCGTTCCAAAACGAGCGTGTCAGGGCAGCTAAGATCAAAGGAAAACCACTCGCCGAGAGCGTTCCGGGGGTGCTGGATCCTGAGCGGCCGCAAAGGACCCGAGCAATGGCCCGAGAACCAGAACGGAGGACGTCGGCGTTGGTGTCTGACACAGCTGGGATCATTCGGCCTAGAAGGATCGTGGCTTTCCGATCGCGCAGATCGTTCGATATCGACGGCCGATTCCAGACCACTGGCGGCGGTCAACCTGGAACGCCCGCGCAAGGGTCGCCGTCGCGTCAACGCGGCGCGAACCAACCGTACTCGGACAGCACGCACGTGTCTGTCGCTCTCTCTCTCTCTGTCTCTCTCTCTCTCTCTCTCCCTCCCTTCCTCCCTACCTCTCTCCCTCCCTCCATCCCCCATGTATAAAGTAGAGCACATAAGTAAGTAGATGCGAGGTGGTCTGGATTGCGACAAAAAATGAGCATGAATAGGACATGTCCATCCCCATCCCTATTGCCCTCCCCTCCCTCCTGGTTCCCCCCTCCTCCCTTCTGGGTGCTATTCGGACCGCGCATCATCCTCCAATAATCGCTTTACTAACTCAACATGTCCATTTCACTTCCTCCTCATCCTCGTCCTCTTCTGCCTCTTCATCATAATTATTATCTTCATATCCATCATCATCATCATCATCATCATCATCATCATCATCATCATCATCAACAACATCAGCATCACCACCACCACCACCATCATCATCACGAGTATCCTCTCCTCCTCCTCATCAGCATCAGCATCAGCATCATCATCATGATAATCAGCATGATCGTCATCACCAGCAGCATCAGCATGAGCATCGCCAGCAGCATCAGCATCAGCATCAGCATCAGCATCAGCATCAGCATCATCAGCATGATCCTCGTGCATCATCATCATCATCAGCAGCAGCATCAACATGAGCAACACCATTCGGATTACCATCATCAACATGTTCGTCATCATCATTGATCTTACTACGGTTTTGGCTCCATTTTGGCATCCTGATGGGGGCCGCGCGCATCTTCCTTCATAGCAAAATCATTCAGTTTACGAAGGTTTTGGCCTCATGTTGTCCTTTTCAAGAGGCAGCGCTCATTTGCGCTTCTGAGGAGGTCGCAAGAGGCCCCAAGATGGCCCCAAGAGGCCCCCAGGAGCCTCCCAAGAGGCCTCCAAGAGGCCCCCAAGAGGCCCCCAAGAGGCCCCAAGAGGCCCCCAAGAGGCCCCCAAGAGGCCCCCAAGAGGCCCCCAGAGGCCCCACGAGGCCCCCAAGAGGCCCCCAAGAGGCCCCCAAGAGGCCCCCAAGAGGCCCCCCCAAGAGGCCCCACGAGGAGCCCGAACGACTCACACCAGGACGAGGGGCCCGAACGACTCACACCACGAAGAGCCCGAACGACTCACACCACAAGGAGGGGCCCGAACGACTCACACCAGGACGAGGCGCCCGAACGACTCACACCACGAGGAGCCCGAACGACTCACACCACGACGCGGGCCCCGAACGACTCACACCACGAGGAGCCCGAACGAGCCACACCAGGAGGAGGGGCCCGAACGACTCACACCAGGATGAGGGGCCCGAACAACTCACACCACGAGAAGCCCGAACGACTCACACCAGGACGAAGAGCCCGAACGACTCACACCACGAAGAGCCCGAACGACTCACACCAGGAAGAAGGGCCCGAACGACTCACACCAGGACGAGAAACCCCAAACGACTCAAATCACGAGGAGCGCTTTCTCTCCCTCCTCCTCCGCCTCGTCCTTCTCCCGCTCCCCCACAAGGAGGATGTACAAGGAGGCGGGAGGAAGGAGGAACAGGGGAGATATGCGGGGCCAAGCGGACACACGCCTGAAAAACACGACTGTCGGCATGCTTCGCAAGAGTTGCTGCTGTGAGATGGGTTGGTGGGGATACGCGAAGCGTAAAGAATTCTCTACTCGCTACTCACTACTCACTTCACACTACTCAAAATTCATTACTCACGATCCATTACTCATTACCCACGACACATTACCCACTACCCACTCCTCACTTCTCCCTACCCACTACTCACTACTCCCTACTCACTACAAACTACTCACATTCACTACCCACTACTCAATACTCACTACGCACTAAACATAAATCACTACCCACTACTTACTAATCACAATTATTCACTACTCACTACCCACTACCCACTAGTCACTACTCCCACTTCACTACTCACAACTCACTGCCAACAACTCCCTATTCACTACTCACTACTCGCTACTCCCTACACAGAACTCACTACTCACTACTCGCTACTCCCTGCGCCCTACTCGCTACACAATACGCACTATTCACTACCCACTACTCACTACTCACTACGCTCCCACTACTCACTACCCACGACTTTCTACTCCCTACGCACTACTCCAACCTCACTACTCGCCACTCACTACCCAGTACCCCGTACTCACTACTCACTAAACACTACTCACTGCCCAATACTCACTACGCACGATTCACTACCCACTAGCCACTATGCAGTACTTACTACTGAGTACTCACAGTTCACTGCTGACTACGCACTGCCCACAACTCACTACTCACTATCCGCTACTCGCTACCCAATACGAGATATGCACCACCCATTACGCACTTCTCGCTACTCACTACTCACTAGTCCCTCCTCCCTACTCACCACTCACTAGTCACAAGTCGCTACTCACTACTCACTACTCACGACTGACTACCTCAGTACTCACAAATATATGCTCGCTACTCCCCACTCACTACCAACTACTCAATACCCACTTCTCGCTTGTCACTACTCACTACTCGCTACTCCCTCCTCGCTACTCACTACTCACGACTCACTACTCACTACTCGCTACCCCCTACTCGCTACGCACTACTCCCTACCCACTACTGACTCCTGACTACGCCCTCCTTCCTCACTACTCACTATTCACAAGCCGTATTCGCTACTCACTACTCACTACTCCCTACTCCCTACTAGCTACTCCCTACTTCCTACTCGCTACCCCCTACTCGCTACTCGTTACTCACCACTCACTACTCACTACTCTTTACTCACTGCGCTCTACTTACTACTCGCTACTCCCTACGCCCTACTCGCTCTTCGCTACTCCCTGCTTACTACTCAGTATGCACTTCTCACTACGAACTACTCACCCCTCACTACTCACAATTCCTTACTCACTACATTCTTTCCGCTACTCACTGCCCACTACTCACTACTCTGTGATCTCTACGCACTACTCACTACTATCACTACTACCCACTACTCACTACTCACTACTCACGACTCACTGCGCACTACTCACTATCAAATACCCACTACTCACCAATCGCTACTCAAAACACTCTATTCTCTACTCACTACCCGAGAGGCCCCCTCCCCAGCCCCGTGTTCGGCGCAAAAGGGGGGGAGGGGGGGGGGTTCGAACCCCCCCCCGCCTTTCCAGCGCCAAGGGGGGGAAGGGTGGGGGTCCGGAACCCCCCTCACCCCCCTTCAAAGGAGGGGGAGGGGGGGAGGGGGGGCCGGGCCCGGGGGCGGGGGTTCGAAAATCTCCCCCCCCCCCCCCTTTGAAGGGGGGGAGGGGGGGGGGGGTCTGCGAGCACCCCCCCCCTTTTGTGTATTCAGGGCCATCCACTGGCGCGCTTTCGGTGTGGACAACACTGGCTCAATATCAAACCTGCAGCTGGAGCTGGAGCCTCGGGTCAGCGCAGTGCAGAAAGCGGCAAGATGTGATGATGTCGTTTGCCGGTGGCGCAGCTTCAGCTCACGGACGCTCCTGTGGGAGGAAGGAACAGAATCCCGCCGAGCGCCTTCTTGCGCCGCACTACGTCCCCGCTGGCGCCAAGCTGGAAGGCGAGCGACACCTGGGCGCGAGGGGGGGAGGGAGGGAGATCGGAGGATGGATAATTCTGGCAATCCTGGGTATGAGCGATAAACGCAGTCATGAACATGGACAAGCAACGCCAGACGAGATGGGCAGCAAACTTGGCAAGCTCGGCTTCCACCGCGTGCTTTGGTGGGCGGGGGGCGGGGCAAGATCGGCATTCAGCAGGAGGTCAAGTACGTCGCGTCGGGGAGAATCCAGGGCGGCAGCAGCAGCACTACCGCTCAAGATCTCGTAGCCTCCGCGCGGGGAGTATGGAAAGGGCCCCTGCGCTGGTGGGCCTGCCCGCGGGAACGATGGGCTGGGAGAGGACGAGGGCGAAGGAGGGACAGCGGAGCGGGAGGACCTGACGAGGAGGCGGGGGGTGGGAGGAGCGGGAGGAGGAGCGGGAGGGCGGCCGGCGGAGCGGGAGGAGGAGCGGGAGGGAGGAGGGGGCCTGCTGGCTGCGGACGTCGAGCAGGCCGCGCGGGCATCTCGGGCTCATCGTCCCCACGATGTGTCGAAGAGGGAGGAAAGAGAGAGAGAGAGAGAGAGAAAAAAAAAAAGAACGACAGAAAGGAAGAGAAAGAACGAGAGAGAGAGAGAGAGAGAGAGAGCTGGGGCGGGAGGACGCGGGGGGAATGAAGGGAAGGGGCCCTGAATAGAGCAATGAGAACTGCATGAGACGCTCCGCGCAGTTTCCTTGGATCGGCGCTGTGCCCCCCTCCCTGGCGCGCGGAGCGAACCAGGGGCGGCGCCAGAGGCATACCAATTCGGAGGCATCCAGCCCCACACACACAAACAGCACAGCATGCCAATTCGGCGACAGAAAGCTTGGAGACGCGCGAGAGGAAGTGGTCACAAGAACACTACACTAAAAAATTCGCCGGCCCAACGGGCCAGGGCGTGCTAAGATCTCCGGTACCTGGTTAACAGTATTTCTAGTTCTCGCGCGCGGGGCGGCCCCCTGGGGGTCCCCGGACGAAAAGTACCCCGGCAAGGTCCCGGCAAGGTCGGGTCAGAGATGCCGGAGTTCTGTTTCGGAGTCCAAGAGGGCTCCAGATCGGTCCAAGAGGGCCCCGAGAAGCTTTCTAGACGGTCCAAGAGAGGCCCGAGACGGCCAAAGATCGCCCGAAGACGCCCCAGATGGCCCCAAGACAGCCCAAGAGGCCTCCAAGACGCTCCAAGGGCCTTCCAAGAGGCCTCCGAAGAGGGCCCCAAGTTGCCAAAATCGTTGATTTTCATTGGTTTTTTCTATGTTTTTTTGCGTTCTGGCCTTTTCGCTTCCGGACGCTCCAAGAGGGCCCAAGAGGCCTTCAAGACTGCTCCAAGACGGCCCACGAGGCTCCCAAGACGGCCCCGGAGCGGCCCAAGAGCGCCCCCCAGACGGCCCAAGTGCTGCCCAAGGCGGACCAAGAGGCCCCAAGACGGGCCCAAGAGGGGCTCAAGAAGGGAACCGAGAACTGAAAAATCGAGCCCTCCGCCCCAGAAGGCGCCCAGGACCCCGAAAGAGGCCCCAAGAGACTCTCCAAGACACCCCCAAGACGCCCCAATAAGCTCCCGTGAGGCCCCAAGAGGACCAACAACGTCAGGCCCCAGGCCCCAAGAGGACCAACAAATACCGCCAAGAGCCCGCCGAAAGCCCCCCAAGAGACCGTCACGAGAGCTCAGGAGGCCCCCTGGAGGCCTCCCGAGTTCTCCAAGAGGCCTAAAAAGAGGCGCCAAGAGGCCCCAAACGGCCCCACCGAGGCTCCAAGAGGCCACGAACGCGCAAGCAAACGCCTGCGATGGCACAATACGGGCCGGCGGAATGAGCGAAGCGATTAAATCAATATACCACCGCGAGCTGTTGACTCACGGCTCTTGCGGGCGCTCTCGGCTCCAGATCGCCGGCGCGCGCGCTCCCGAGATGCTCGCCCCCTTCGCCCTGCGCCGCAGCCTGACTCCGCAAGTAACCTGTACCGCGCCGGCGTCCCGCGCACCTGATTAGGCTTAAGTCGGGCGTGTCCTCCTACACGGGGGCTCTGGACGAAAAATCAACAACACCCTAAAACATGTTCGAGAACATTCGAAAAAGTACACAAAAAAGCGTCCCCAGACTATTTTTTGACTATGTTTTGCACGTTCCTCGTGTAGGGGGACAGGCCCGACTTCAAATCAGGCGCGGCTTCGAAGAGAGGAAGGGGAAGGATGCCGCCACGTCCAACCGTCTTCCCCCTCCTCTTCCCTCCCCCCTATAGGTCGAGCTTGACTGCAGAGGACACCCGGAGACGACTCAGGTCTCTTCCAGTGGCAGCCCCCTATGCTCCAGACACGACGGGGAATCGGAACGCGACTGACAGGACAGAAGGGCCGACCGCACGTCATGGTCGTAACAACAAGAGACTCGTCGCGGTCACAGCCACGGCGGGCTGATGTGCGAGCGGGTCTTGGTAACGTGGGCAGCGAGCTCAGGAGACGTACCCGAACGGCCTGCTAGAGGAGAGCATGAACGAAAGGAACAGACGCAACGCCACAAGCGTGCTGTGGAACATGCCGGGCGCTTCACGGATGAAACACCGCCCCGCGAAAAACAGGATGGTGCCAGACTGTCTCCGCTGTCCTCCCTCCGACCTGGCTGGCACCGGCAAGGACAGCGAGAGCCAAGGCAGCTCCAAGGGTGCCAGTGGACCCTCGGCGAGGACCTGCGACGTGCTGGAGGTGCGCGTGCCAGGCGCCCCTGCGCGGACCTGACTGCGGGTAGCGCCATACACTGAGCTGCCGCCTGCTGTTCGCCCCAGCGAGCGCTCGCGGGAGCCTGATGTCGAGCCTCAGCGTGCGCATCAGGAGCCGCACGCGGTGTCTCCTGTGCTCCCCCAGCCCCTGGCTGGCTGCCACTCCGCGCCAATCCTGCCCCCGTGGTTCGCCGCGGTCGCCCACCGCGCTCTGGCCCGGCGCGCCTGGCTGCTGCCGCCAGCAGGCTGCTCATCGTCGAATTCTTCGGCGTCTGAGCGTCCCTCCTGAGTCTCGTCGGCCTCCCCCCTTCCTCCGTGCTCGCCGGCCAATTCGCTAGTTAGTGCCCCTACCTAGCTGTTGCGCTGGCGCGGATTTCGCCGCCTCGCCGCTTACGAAAAAAGTGTATCAGGAGCCGGGGGTCGAGCGACAGCATGTGAGCGATCAAGCAGCTGGAGCCGAGATCCAGCAGAAATGCGCGTCGCGGGGGCCGCCGTCAGGCCTCGGCGGTGTGAGCTCTCCCCAGGGCCCGGGGTCGAGCCTCGGCGTGCTGGCGCCCAGGAGCCTGGAGCAGGGCTCCCGCATGCTGCGCGTCGGGGACACCGAAGTCGAGCCTCCGCATGCGCGCCTTCGGGGCCTCAGTGTGCGCGCGAGACGCGGAGGTCGAGTCGTCGACGAGCGCCATGTCCCCGAGCACAGGACCACACCAGGCGCGAATGAATGGGGGGCGATAGATAGGGGGGGGGGGGGGGGGGGGGGGGGGGGGGAAATGCCCCTCTCGGGCCTTCTCGGGCCCCCTTTGGGGCCCTCAAGGGCCCCTCTGGGAGCCCCGAAGGGCTACTGGTCGGCAGCCCTCGCTGCCTCCCCATGTGTCGCCCACCCGTAAACCCTGAGATCCGACGTTGCAAAACAATGCAGCCTCGAACAACAATCACGACCAGCGGACCCCATCTTTCTGCGCCATCTTTCGGGTCGGATCGATCTGCGAGGGTCCCGGAGCCCGACGTGGAGCGAAAACGCCCGCTGGGAAAAAAATGCAACGCCAGGATCTAGTGAAGGGGAACTGGGACACACAAATAAATACACACAAGCAAAATTATCCCCCATATTTTCCTATATTTTCTGGGTTTTTGTCTTCCCCCCCACTTCCCATATTTTCCCATATTTTCTGGGAATCGCCGATTAATTGTGTCTGTGTGTTTTTTCCCCTCCTGAGATCTCAGGGTACGTGCCCCCCCCAGCCACACCTGCGAAGGCTGACGCCGGCAGGTGGCTGCCGGCCTCCGCCGCGCGCTCGCCTCGCCTCTGCCACAAGGGGGCCCCTGGCAGAGCCCCGGCGGCGAGCGCGGCGGAGCCCCCGCGGGGAGACGGCGGAAACGATGGGCGATGGGGGCAGCCCAGGGACGGGGCCGTCGTTGGGCCGGCGCGCCTGCGAGCGCCGCCGCCGCCCCCGCGGAGTGGGCCGCGGCGGGAGCAGCGGGGGCCGGCGAGCGGGGTGCTCGGCCGCCCCCCCCCCCCGCCGCCCCCCGCCCGGCCAGGGCGGGTGTGGCGAGCAGGGGCGATGGGCCGGCCCCTGCGGCGGCCCAGGGACGGGGCCGCCGTGGGCGAAGTCTCGTCGCCTCGGGCCTCTCCTGCGCCACGAAGAGAAAGACACGGACGCCCTCCGACGAGCTCTGCATGCACAGCCAACCCGTATCGTAAGGATGCACGGTAAGGATGCAAGGGCCTTGGAAGGCCGATGCGGAGCTTCTCGAGCGGGGCGCGGCAAACGAAAGTCGCCAAGGATGGACCGAGGAGGCAAGGATGTAAGGGTATCCTTGGGAAGGTTGTCCCTTCTTACTATGCGGGATGACTGTACTTCCGTGGAGGGGACGGCGTGTAAAGTTCCCTGGCTCTTGGTGGTGATTTGTACACCGCCACCCTTCCCTGACACCGAGGAACGATCCAGTGGAGGGTGTCTGTGTATATTTCCTCGTGGCGGATCTCTTGCCTCTTCTGCGCCAGCGCCCAGGCCGCCGAAGAAAAAGGCATGGGGCGGCCAGGCCCCGATCGTCATCGCGCGTGTTTTTTTGTGCGGGATCTGTGCCAGAGCAAAATGGACGGTACCACCTGCTGCGCCGCCGCGTCACCGCCGCATCGTTCAAGCGGGAGGTACAGTCAAAACGTGTAAGGATGGGTGGTAAAGACGCAAGACCATTGGAGGCCGAAGCTGCGATTTGTTCTACGGCGGGCGACAAGTGAAAACCCGCGCGTCCTTACTAGGCGCGTTGAGTGCACTTGATGCGCATGGCCAGCGGCTCGCTGGCCACCAAAGCGGGCCGAGGACACCTACGTGTGCAGCGCAAGCCTGCCGCAATGCAGCAAGTGCCCGCGAGGAAAGAGAGGCTGGCTCGCACTCCTTGTGCGAAGGGCCCGTGCAAGGTGGGAAGTGGCCATTCCAGGGAGCTCTCCCTTGCTGGCCATGGATGTCGAATGTGCTTCGATATTGTTGCGTTGATGCCGCTGCCCCGTCGCGTTTCGCCTTGCACATTGCTGACCTAAGGAACGGCCCGCTTTGTGCCAGGTGGTGCTTTGCATCGTGGGCCGTCAGAGGTTTGACATGTAGTTTCCAGTTTAGCATCGCGCGCTGCAGCCATAACCCTGATCGTCGTCGTCACCATCATGACCATCACAACCATCAGCATCATCATCAGCATCATTAAGAACAGCATCACTTCCATCATCATCACGTATCACCACCATCACCATCATCACCACCAAAAACACCACTACCAGCATATGATACATCATCGCCATCATCATCATCATCATCATCATCATCATCATCATCATCATCATCATCATCATCATCATCATCATCATCATTAACATCATCATCATCATCGTCATCGTCATCGTCATCGTCATCGTCAACATCATCCCCACCACCGTCATCATCGCCATCATCCCAACCACCGTCGCTATCATCACCACCAACATCACCACCACCACCAGCATCATCATCATAACCACCGTCGCTCCCACCGTCGGCATCGTATCCACCGCGACCACCATCATCACCACAAGGACCACCGTCGCCATCATCATCGTCATTAGCACCGCCCCCATCGTCATCAACATGCGCCTCCCGCTTTTCACCGCATCGCCACCGTCCACGTCGTCAGCTTCATCACCATCTTTTCCCTTTTCCGCATTCTGGCATTCTGCCCTGCAAAAGGCCCGTTCGTCTGGGCCGCCCGCCCGACCGGGCCGCGCGACACGGGCTTTAAGCATCGCGGGCGGACAGCCTAGTAATGCCTGGCCCGCGGGACGCCCCCCATCCTCCATCACCATATCCACCCTCTGCACCACAATCTTCAGAACCTCGCATCGGCCAACGCACGCACGCATCCGCGCTGGTGTATGCGACGGGGGGCATGCGGTCAACCGCTCGAGCCACCGCCGCCATCACCATCGTCCCTGCCATGGACGCCTGACGTCGTGCTCTGCCACAGCGTGGCTCAGAAATCTGGGCCCTTTCCTCGCCACCGGCTTCTGACGGTCCCGGGGCACGACGAGTGCCACCAACAGCCGACAAACATTGGCAGAAACCTTCCGTCGCGACGCTGGCTCGCGGATGAAGGCGGCCAGGTTCCTTAAGCCCAGCCGACGCAACGAGAGCTGCCACGGCCAACACCGCAGACACTTGTAAGTCCGCGGGCGCCGAGTGGTCGAAGACAGTCAGACGCCGTTCCGCAAGCGGTGGGGTGCACCGGGAGCGAATTGAGGCACGAAGGCGAAAAGGGAAATCGCGCGAGGGGGGAAGAGGGAGGAGGTACAGACCGCAAGCACGAGGCTGCGACAGAGACGAGGAGGGGCGCGCGCGGCGCGCGCCGCTCGGACTCGCGCCTCCACGAGCCGAGCGCGCTGTGGCGGGCGCCCCCTGTCCTTCCTCCCTCCCTCCCCCGCAAGCAAATGATGCCCAGATTCCTCTTCCTCTCTTACTGTTATGCTGCTCCCATCTCGGGGATGGACAGACCTCCCTTTAGTAAAACGTGGTTTAGTGAAAACGACCTGAGGCCCAAACCTGGCGGGCGCAAGCCTGGAAAATAACGGCCACGGCGCCCTCTCGAAAACCGAAAACGGACAATTCACTAATCGACGTGTCACTGTTGGGGGTTCTGTCCAGCCCCGACCATCGTACTCAAGGACCGCATCCGGCAAAGTGTCGAAAAAGTGTCGAACGAGTCTCCCAGGGCCCGACCGACACGTGAAAGCCCTCCAATCTCGGTACTTTTTTGGTGCTCGAGATTCTTCCTGGTGGTCCAGGCTAAAGAGGGTTGGAACATCCTAATCTTTTTTCTTCCGGCGGCGACCTTTTAGGGGGGGACTGGCACAGAGGTGGATGCATCGACCTGGAATCGGCGATCGGCCCCAGACAGTGAATATCCGCACCTTCCCTGGCGGGGTGGGGGCGCTCGTGCCCCTGTCGGCGATCAGTGGGCGACTGGGGGTCGATGCGTCCCCCCCTGTGCCTGTCCCCCCCTATCGGTGCCCCCGAAGGTTCCCAGACTCCTCTTCCCCTCTGGCTTCCGGCGGCGACCTCTTCGACTGCCACCACCGTCCGCTCGTCGCCGGCGCGCAGGGGCGCATCCGCAGCGCGCGCTCCCGCGTGGGGCACGCCGGGCTCCACCCGACAGGGCCGCGGTCGGCCCCAGGGCCAGCGGCGCGACTGCCATCGCGAGAGCTCGCTGGAGAAGCAGGCGACTTCCAGCCAGCAGGTGCCTCCTCCTCCCCCCTACCTTTTTCAAGAACGAGGGATGAAGGAAAGAACAAAAAAACGGCCCTGCCCTGGGTTACAGGTGCGTGGTCTGCAGACCTCCTTGGGACTCCCAGAGCCTAGGGAGCCGCCAGGACGCCGCACACATCACGCAGGGCTTGCCCTGTCAGCCCGCAGGAGGTTCAGCGCACAGCGCCTCGTCAACCAGGGTAGGGGCTTTTTTTGCGCCCTTGACAATAGGGGATCGACAGCAGAATTGATGCATCCCACAATCAAGGTGCTCGTCGAGTCTGAAACAGGATAATTGCGTTGAGTCCTCGTGGATCTACCAAGATGCTACGCGCTTCGGACAGATCCGACGAACATCTCCATTCTGAGCACAGGCAATGCTGTAGTCGACCCCGACCCCCCTACTAGAGTCAGACCGTGCAGCGAGGATGCACCGTACACCCTGCGAAATGCTTAAGAAATCATGGGTTCAGAAATGCATAGTCTCAGAACTTGAGTAGAAGCCCGGAATTTCCATCGGAATCTTAGGACTTACATGGAAACATTAAGAATAATCGAGACTCTGGCCGAAAACTGGGGTTTTCTTAACCATCGCCTAAGGTGTGAGGATGCAAAGGGCCCTGGAGGGCCACGCCGACACTCTGCGGGGGCCGGCCGCGGCCAGCGGGGGAGCGGCCGAGGGTGGGCGGGAAGGGAAGGACGCACGGGCAGCCCGGGAGAGCTGCTCATCCTCACGATGCCTTGGCCGTGCTCTGTCGACGCCCGGAGGATGTACGGGCACGATTGAAGGGGCCCTG